CACCAAATCCTCCTGGGTTGGACACACAGTCTTGAGGGACACAGCCCACCGTGTCCCTCTTTGCCTGGCAAAACAATAAAGGTATTCTTTTCTACTTCACCCAAAACTCTGTCTCTGAGATTTAATTCAGTGTCGGGGTACAGAGGCCAGATTCAGCTTCAGCCCTGTCCCTAATAATAGCAGACCCTCTGTGCTGTCTGTGAGAGGTTGTCCACTACTCTGTTGTTGCACTAACATGCCTGAAGTCTGCTCAGCCCTCCTTCCTGCTGCTTGTAGGTGGGGAACCTCAAAATATAGATCTCTCAATACAGAAGCTTCTGTCTGTCTTCATGCTCCGGTTAGAGCTCTGAAGAGACAATCTCACCTCTTCACCTCTGAAGGGACAGTCTCACCCTGTGGGTTCTAAAGGAACTGAGCAATAGACATAGGACTTAGGAAAGATCACAACATCAGCCTTGTGCCTGGTGCTGGGGAAGGGAAAAAATTTCCCTCTACCCTTTTTAGGTTCTTCTGGCTGGTCTAAGAATTAAATTGACATGAGACAGATTAACAGGAGAAAACCAAATTTAATTACATATGAATGGAGGTCCCATAAGAAAAATTGAGGCAGGAGATAGATGGGCTCCAGGCTAGGCATTTAAAACTGGCCTCCTGTTTGCACTTCTTGGGGTGAAAAAAATATGGGTTCAGGCCGGACACTTACAACTAGCCTCCTGTTTGCATTTCCTGGGACAGGAGATATGTGGGCTCCAGGTTAGATATTTACAGCCAGCTTCCTGTTTGCTCTCCAAAATGGAAGCAATGACCGAGACAGGGTAAATAGCCAGACTTTGTCTCCTGTGGGCACCTTAAGGTAACAGTCATGACAAGCACAGAGAGGGGCTAATCCTTGTTTGAGTAAAGGCTCAAGAGGTCACATATTTCCCCTCCTTGGGGCAAGGGAGAAATTGCACATGTGCAGAAAGGCTCCTGGGGGGTCAAAAAAGAGGGGGAACCACCTCATAATATGTGATGCTAAGGCCACCCCACAGGGCTCTAGGCTGGAGTCCATCTTCCAAAAAAGTAACGCACGCATGTTGGGGAGGGTCCTAGGGCAGGTCAGGTGTGGAAAAAGAAACCAGATAATTGGCCAAAGGTAAACAAAGACCTGGAAGAACTGCCCTTTATAAATTATTTAACCACCTCTTTTCTGCTCTCCTCCTCATTAGGGAGGATGCCCACACTCTTTCTCTCTGGGTGTGCATCTCTGCCTTGCTAAACAAACTATTTCTCTGTGTGCTGTCCCACTTGTTGTTGTGCTATGTCTCTCATAATAAACTTTGTACCTGTTTTTATATTTTATATACCTCCATGAGAAATACATTTTTCACTGGGAGCTAGAGCCAGGGAAAAGTAGCTTCTAGCCTCTAGCTGTTGCTTGTCTGGTGGCTAGGATTCCTGGTTTTTACCCAGGCTACCCAGGTTCAATTCCTGGGCAGGGAATTAATATCTTGCTTCACGCCACCACTCACTGCTGCCTCTCCGAGATCAACGTGAGACACAAGGATAAGTTAGGGAATTGAGACTTATATGCCACTGAAAGAAGGAGAATGGGGTAGGGGTTTGAACCTTCAAAGGGGAGAAAGGCAATTCACATAGAAATGGAAAAACAAATGTTTGGTAAACAAATGTTTGCTATGCCATACAGAGACAAGGGGAGACAGAGAGGGCTTTGGTCTCCAGGCCCTGCCAAGTTCCCCCTACCACACCTAGCTCATATTCTTTGCAGTTTTCTCTGGTGAGAGTGCTCTTCCTGGACCAGGTCCTTTATCTAAATTCTTTTAGGCAGTTAAGGGGGAGGTAAAAAGAAACACTTTCTGAGTCTTCAATTTCTTAAAAATAATCACCCTAAAATAATCCTCCTGCCAAAGATATAAACTTTGGGGAGGAAAATTTTGATCCACTAGAGAATCCAGCTTAGATCTAAAGTAAGAAAGGTCTTCCTGAAACTTTCCCTCTCCAGATCTAAGTTTTAGGACAGAACATGTCATTGAAAATTAATCAGTCAATCTAAGAAAGAAATGGAACATTTTATTCAAGCCAAATTTGAGGATTATAATCAAGGAAGAGCATCTCAGAAAGCTCTGAGGACTATTCCACTCATTAGAAGTCAAGGCACAGTTATATAAGTTTTTTGAGACAGAGGGCTGAACATCAAATGACGTCTTATTATCGACAGTCTACATAGTCCATATCTAAGTGTCATTGTGGTAGGTCACATGATCCCTTACAAGATCAAGAAGGAATATTATCTTTTAAGGAGTTGTCTTGTTGATGCTAAGAGAATGGTGCTCTTTATGGTTGAGCAGGTATTCCTGCTGATGGGGGAGGTTTGGTCAATGCATGATGCAGATACACCATGCAGAGTGGGGGAAGGGAGAAGGCCAACAGACAGAGAAGAACTTTTTATATTTAAATTTTTCTTGCCTTGTCATAAAATATGAATTTTATTTCACAAGCAGCAACAAGAATCTCCACACATGGCGGAGAGCAAAGGATCCCAGAGCCCCAGAGGTTATCATATGCATATGAAATTTGACCCCTGAGCTGTGGACCCATGGATGTTAGACTTGGGAAATGGTACCAGCATGATGAGTCTTTCTTCATTCCAAGGGGAGGAGCCAGTCAGAGGGATGTAAAATTTTCCCTAGCCTATGACCCTCTCCAAAAGAACCAAAGACCTCCTCTTGCCTGTTATGATGCTATTATCAAAGGTGTCCTCTTCAGCACTCCAGGTCATTCCACTGAGAGAGAAATGAAGACACAAATACCTTAAAAAGTGCACCTATGTGAGTCTGGAACAGTTGGCAGAAATTGGTAGAGGTGAGGGTCATTTAAAATGGGAGTTGCAGGATGTCAGGGCTGGGAATGCATGACTAGAAACTACTAATATAAGCATCAGTCCACCAGCTAGCTAGTTTAAATTATTAGGGAATCTAATTGTGTCCAGGTAAGCAGGAAGGGGGATTCAGAGAACTCACTTCTCACGCTATATTAGAACAAATAGGAGGACTGAAAATTACTAAAGTATAAAAGAAAATTATTTAAAGCATGTAAAAGATTTACTTCATAAAAGATTAACCACAGGAAATTTAGAAAATTTTAGGCAGCGACTGCATTAAACTCTCAAGCAAATGGAAGAAAAACAGAGACTTGATGAAAGATGAAAGTTGAAGAAGAAAAATACGCTAAATCCAAGAAAGAATGTAAGACAACTCAAAGCATTGTAGAATTTTAAATGACATTAGAAATAGTAAGGATCCCAATACGCTAAAGAGAAAAACAAATCACTTGTAGGGGAGCAAAATCTGCCACCCCAAAATGTTTCTTTGGCATGTGGATTATTTCAGGCTAAAACAATCAAGGCCCAAAAGACTCAGGAAGAAACTTTGACCTTCCCCCTAACTGCCTAAAAGTATTTAGATACAAGGACTGTTTCCAGAATATAGCTATCACTGGAGATACTTGCAAAGAATATGGGCTAGGAGAGGTGGGGGAAACTCTGCAGGTCCTAGAAGTCAGAGTCCACTCTGTGTCCCATTGTCTCTGGTGGTCCAGCAAACATTTATTTATCAAACGTTTGCTTTTCCATCTCCGTGTGAATTGTCTTCCTCCCTTCTGAAGTCCCAAACCACTACCCCCAACATCCTCTTTTGTCTTTAACTGAAGATGATAAAGTGAGGATTTTGGCAAGTTACTCAATTTTTCTGAGTTCCTCCCATGTATACATGTTATTAAATTTTGTTTGATTTTCTCCTGTTAATCTGTCTCATGTCAATTTAATTCTTAGATCAGCCAAAAGAACTTAGAAGGGTAGAGGAAAAATTCTTCCTCCCTAACACTAATATGAAGGTTAGGTTTGAAAAAATAAAAGCTCAAAATATAAGGATAAAGGACACTGATAAAAGTGATCTGGATGATGATAAATGAGAAGAAAAAATAATGGAAATTTCACACAATGAAAACTGGTGATCCTGAAGAAAAAAATAGAACAAATTAAACAGAAACAACAAAACACTTCTTTTCAATTTTTGAATATTCAAATTGAAAGGATTAAAGAATTAAAGATAATTCTAATATGTAATGACCTCATCCTGATGGTGGGGGAAGAATGCTGGAAAAATTCTATTCCTGTATTCTTTTTCTTTTCATTAATTAATTAATTATTTTTGGTTGCATTGGGTAGGTTGCTGTGCATGGGCTTTCTCTAGTTGCAATGAGTGGGGGCTACTCTTCTTTGCCGTGAGTGGGCTTCTCGTTGCGGTGGCTTCTCTTGTTGTGGAGCACGGGCTCTAGGTGCACAGGCTTCAGTAGTTGTGGCACGTGGGCTCAGTAGTTGTGGCTCACAGGCTCTAGAGCGTAGGCTCAGTAGTTGTGGCGCATGGGCTTAGTTGCTCTGCGGCATGTGAGATCTTCCTGGACCAGGGCTTGAACCCATGTCCCCTACATTGGCAGGTGGGTTCTTAACCACTGTGCCACCAGGGAAGCCCTATTCCTGTATTCTTTAGATAATTCAATAAAACACAGTAAATGGGGTGGGTGTTCCTATAAAGGGAAATGAAAATGTTGGCAGGACTACAGTTAGACACATGCAGTCTTTTAGGTGAAAAAAATTCGGCTCACTTTTTCTTAAACACTCAGTAAAAGGCAATGGCTCTCAACCTCAGCTGAACGCTGGAATTACTTGGAGAGCTTTAAAAAACATTGATGCTTGGGTCCCACGCCCCCAAAATCAGATTTAATTGGCTTGGGGTGTGAACTGGTAATTCTAATGTAGAGAAATGTATAAGACCCTCTGATTGGCACTGTCCCATGGAAAAAGAGTGGTGAAAGGAGGGGGAAATACACTCCTCCCAGGGCACAAGAGCCCAGTGTGTAGGGCAGTAAAACATCAGAGCCAGAGACAAGGGAAATGTAAGGTGTAATCCCCAAAAGGCAACTTCAGGATTCACAAAAGGGCCTCAGGGCCATAGCTGTCGTTTGATGAACACCTCACCATGTGTTTTATTTTTTTATTTTTTATAAATTTATTTATTTATTTGTTGGTTTGCTTTGGCTGCATTTGGTCTTTGTTGCTGCGCATGGGCTTTCTCTAGTGGCGAGAAAGGGCTACTCTTCGTTGCGGTGCACGGGCTTCTCATTGTGGTGGCTTCTCTTGTTGAGGAGCACAGGCTTTAGGCACGTGGGCTTCAGTAGTTTTGGCACGCGGGCTCAGTAGTTGTGGCACATGGGCTCAGTAGTTGTGGCTCACGGGCTGAGTTGCTCCGCAGCATGTGGGATCTTCCCGGACCAGGGCTCGAACCCATGTCCCCTGCACTGGCAGGTGGATACTTAACCACTGCGCCACCAGGGAAGTCCCTCACCATGTGTTTTATACTTCAGTGCCCACCAGTCCAGGACATTAGGACTGAAGGTCCCACCAGCATAGACAGTGCTAATCTCTTCTGGTGATAACACATAGTCCCACATGTTCACATCTCCAATGTCTCCCACCAGAGGCTGGTTTTTATCAAAGCCCCCAGCAAATGCATCCTGCTCCTGCCCCAGGACGATGCTTGCCTCTGTTCCCAAAGAGTATTCCCTCTTCATACTCCTCCTCACCATGGGCTTCCCATCCACCCAGAGCTCTGTAATGCCTGAGGTAGACTCCCAGGTCACACAGAAGTGCATTGGTGCAGAACTCTCAGGAGGCTTGAAAAAGACATCAGCTCCACTCACGGATACACTGTATACAACAGTCTTTCCCTTGAAGAGGAGGATCTCATTATATTGTTAACTTGTGGCATAAGAGAAGAGGCTATAGTCGTGGGTCAGATCGGTATACACATGCAGGCACACAGTCAAGGCCTTAAGTGGCTTTGTTAGCTGTGCAGTCAGCATCACAACGGAATTATCCGACTCTTTGGGGAACACAAAGACCTTTGTGTGCATATCTGTAGCGTGAAAAAACAGAGAGGGGAAATGTCAGCTGCAGAGTTTTTTTAAAAAACAAAACTCAACTGAGTAAATTAAAGATCTAATTGTCGTTATTCAATGACTCATGAAATGGGCAGCATCCCGTCTAGCAGATAGAAAGGAACTTTGAAGAGCTGTACAAAATGAAAGACTTTTATAGACAGAAGAGGGTGGGAAGAGGAAGTTCCTAGAAAAGAGTGGATTATTTCAGGCAAGGTCACCTTCCTCTAGGGAAAGAAAGGGGTCTTATCGGGTGAATTACCTCATTAGAGAGGCCAGGTAATTCCACACTGACAGCTTAAAAGTCACATTCCTGGGAGAGGTGAAACTGCAATTAGGTTAGGTATTGCATCTTGACTTGCTAACATGGGACTTGACACAAGTGACTCCATTTTAGGTCAGTTGTCTCTTTTTTTAAACGATTCCCCCCTTTTGATCAACCTGAGGTATCTCCAGCTGGTGTGCAGGACCAGAAGCCAAATGGAGTCTTCTTTGACTGTGAGATGTGTACCTAAGGTTCAAGTCCCTGGATTTTGGCTGCCATTTGGGTAGTGAGGAGGACCATGGGTCCCTTCCAAAGAGATTCAAGGGCAGTCTTTGTTCTTAGTGATTCCAAGTCAGGATGGGAGAAAATTGAAACATTCATTTGCAGATTCATAGCCAAATTCTTAAGGAAAATAGAAGAATTCAGCACCCAGTCCAATTTGCAGATATGTAACAAAACCTCAAGGACAATCAACAGGATTAGATTTTAATATCTACAAAGGTGCACACATAACTTTTCTCTCTAAAATCACCCCATTTTTAAAAATCAAAGATAACCACAGTGAAACTAATTTATTTGCATTAAACTTGGCCTGATTATTTACATAAATGCAGCAAGAATAGTGATTGACCATATAAGCTCTTTGGAAGACTGCTCCATTGGAACCTTGTAAGTAAAGTACCAAGCCAATTTTTCCAAGGGGCTTTACTGACTCCAGAAAGTCAACCTTAGTTCCTTAAAAGTGTCTGGTCATATCCAAGTCTATGCACATCTCCCTCAAATATGACATTTCTGTCAAAGCCTCAGTAGTATAACCAGTGTTTCCAATTGTATACTGTTACAAGGAGAACAGATTCTTATTGAATTTATGTAAATGACTAACTATGATGCCATGAAAAGAATATTTAAGAATTTTCAAATTTGGGAGAAATCAGGTAGAGAAAAAAGTAAATGTTTCATCTTTGTTTACAAAGGTATACTTGGCCAAATTGCTTTAAGTCATAGATAGCTTAAGAAAAAAAGGTTTCCTGAAATCTGGAGAAAAAAATATTAAGAAAACTGCAATATTTCAAACAAAACAATTATAATCATCTTCCTTAATTCCTTCCATCCCGTGTAATTAATATTTGTTTGCTTGAATCCAGTTTTTCCATTAGCTCTGTAAATTTTTACTCAACTTAGTTTTATGATGTTAAAGCTACAAGAAACCTGCACTTGTCAAAGTCCTTTCCAATAATCTTTTTGAGGACGAAGCACACTTGCAGAAACACTTTTGCAAAAGCATCTGAGTAAAAAAATAACTGTCTGGGGGCTTCCCTGGTGGCACAGTTGTTGGGAGTCTGCCTGCCGATGCAGGGGACGCGGGTTCGTGCCCCGGTCCAGGAGGATCCCACATGCTGCAGAGCGGCTGGACCCGTGAGCCATGGCCGCTGGGCCTGCGCGTCCAGAGCCTGTACTCTGCAACGGGAGAGGCCACAGCAGGGAGAGGCCCGCGTACCTCAAAAAAAATATATATATATATATAAAAAATAAAATAACTGTCTGTAAATGACAAAAAACTTTAAAATGCCCATTGTTAAAGATCTGTTGAGGGCTTCCCTGGTGGCGCAGTAGTTGAGAGTCGGCCTGGCGATGCAGGGGACACAGGTTCATGCCCCGGTCCGGGAAGATCCCACATGCCACGGAACGGCTGGGCCCGTGAGCCATGGCCGCTGGGCCTGTGCGTCCGGAGCCTGTGCTCCGCAACAGGAGAGGCCACAACAGTGAGAGACCTGCGTACCGCAAAAAAAAAAAAAAAAAAGATCTGTTGAGAGCTCATTATAATGGAACTGACAAGGAAATTTGGTTATTTCTGTGACATACAATGTTTTAAGATAAGACTGGAATTATGACTGATAATCATTACACCAGGGTATGTCAGATTTCTAGGAATTCTCAAAATTTTATAAAATTTATGGTATATGCAAATACAACATAAAGAAGGCTTAGTATTACTTCTTCTTTGACAATGCTTCCAATATAATTTAATATATCAAATAAGCCTAATTTGTTTAACATCTCCTTTTTATAAGGGGAGAGAACAAGTGTTTTGAGATTTTCCAGGGGTCCTCTGGAATATCTCAAAGTTACTTTGAGGTCAAAATGACTTCATTTAGAATTTGATTTGCAGGAAGTTTGTCAAAAATATTAAAAGATTGTAAAGCCCTTGGTCAAATAGGATCATAGGTCATTGCAAAACAATACTTAGTTATACATTTAACCATAATGACAATTAAAGACTTCAAAGGCAAATACAGAAAGTTAAACAGTTGTAAAGGAAAATGTAGCTCTTTTAATAGAGAAGACTCAGCTTTCTTAACTAATCAAAAGACACGATAAGGAGAGCACAGGAGGGCTTCCCTGGTGGTGCAGTGGTTGAGAGTCCGCCTGCCGATGCAGGGGGCATGGGTTCGTGCCCCGGTCTGGGAAGATCCCACATGCCGCGGAGCGCCTAGGCAGCTGAGCCTGCGCGTCTGGAACCTGTGCTCTGCAAAAAAAAGATAGCACAGGAAGTTATTTTGACAAGACACAAAATCTTTGCTTTCTAGGCAAATTACTTGAGGTAAGAAAAAAAACTTTTACAAAACTTTTACAATCTCTTATCAAGAGCACACAAATAGTTCAATAAAACTTTATTGTTTTCACAGAGAGAAAAGCAGATTCTAATTTTATGCCTGCTTCCTTTTAATATTAAAATTTATTCACTCAATTAAATTCATTTCCATTTTAGCCAGTCTTGGCCATGCATAAAACCCCTTACCAAAGATTCCTTTTCCACAAACCTTCTACAACTTTCTTCTTTACATTCATATTTTGTCCTGTGTTTTTTCCCTCTCCCATTCTGAAATAAGCAGTCTCTCTTTAGGACAAAATTACTTTATTTTCATTCAACAAAATGCTTTTTCATTCCTCATACCTTCTTTTACTGAAAACACACATCTTATTTTCTTTACATATGGAGATATTCATCTCATTATTTCTGTTTTTAACCCTTAGAAAATTTAAGATTTAGTGAAATAAAGAAGTAAATAGTTGTGAACTGTCTTTTACTTTAGCATTTTGTGGCTTGGCAAATGTATAAATACTTTTTATTGTTTTTAGAAATATCTGCTTTTTCATAGTAAATTTCTCAGTGTGGCACAAAACATGTTTAATAGAACCAAACATATTTAGCTCCTCTGTAAAAGGAAGCCAAAAGTGGATAAACCTATGTTCAGTAATTAATGTTTCAGTATTTTATCTTATTTGGAAATGATCTAAATATTTAATGACTGTCCATAATTTAGTTTAACCTAGCAAAACTTTAAGGTGTTAGTTTACCAAAAAGATTTGGGGAAATGATTTTATTTTTCTTAAAAAAATTTTTTTTGGTATTTTTAAATTTTTTTATTTTTAAAAAATTTTTTGTGGGAAAACTATTTTAAAAGTTCACCTAAAAACTTTTTTCCCACTTACATCTATTTAATTCACTTGTTCTCAACAGTTTGTTTACTCACGAAAATTTCATCATACCAAGTTATTTCTCTTGCTGACAAATTTTGAAACAGAGATGACATGAACTTATTTGACTAGTAAACCCAGGTAGAATAAAAGTTGTATGTTTGCATTATTTTTAATGTTGGTAACTCTAAAGATATAACTCTGTAGACATTTTAATTAAACCAACAAGCTCAAATTATCATTAATATTCAATATTTTCCCAGATTGTGTGAACTTGAAAAGCATTTGGGTCAGTTTCTATTATATTACTGAAAATTTTAGAAACACTTTATTTAAGTGCCTAATTTTCTTTAAGCCAATTAAATAGTGCTCTTTTACAGATTAATTTTTGGCAATATTATCCATAGGTAGAAAAATACCATACATCTACAACACAAATATATAGAGAGACACACATAAGTGACAGAGGCAAACAGAGATTTTATAGCTTTCATTTTAATATTACTGCCACTATACAGGTACAATAATACACAGCTCACTAGTTATAAAAAAGCTGGATTTAAGTTGTTATGGTAGATAGAATAAGTTAAGGTTACCTGCTCAGATGGCTAAAACTTTTTAATAATATTTGTTATTATTATTATATATAATATAATGTTATTTGAGAAGACACTTAAAAGATTATTGTATATTATAATATATATTATATAATATATAATATATTATATTATAATATATAATATAATGTTATTTGAGAAGACACTTAAAAGATTTTTCATTCACCTAAGTTTTAAATGACCTCTTCCTCTTTTGTTTTCCCCCTAATAAGAATTACCTCCCTGGAGTTTGTAGTTTAAAGAGATTGGCCTAGAAAATAATTCCTGGAGAAGACCAGGTAGGACATTTACACCTCAAAGGTACAGGGAAGGAATGCAAGTTCCTCTGAGAAGAACTTTGCTTCTTAAAGCCAGAATTTTTACAATATTTATTTGAGATAAATATGGGAAGTTTCAGGATTGGTAAAAAGAACAGGTGGGCTTTTAACTGTTTCTAGAGAAGATAAGGGCAATTGTTCTTAATTCCTCAAAGAATTGGGTTGCAGCCTAAAAAATACCAAGGGGCTAATCCTCCCATCTAGCCATATTATCTTCTGTTTGCTCTCCTTCCCTCCCAGGTACATAGTTTTATTTCTGGCAATATTGAACACCTCTTGGATGTGTCCAAGAGGTGTCCCCCAAAGAGGTTGCAAAAGATATTTTATTCCCCTCTCCACAGAGATCCAGGAGAGCTGGCTCCGATAAGAATTTTTACCTTTTGCTGGCTTCTGCCAGTTTTCCCAAGATCCCCTCTGCAAGCTCCGGTATCTATCAGAATTTGGCAAAGTTTTTAATTAATTTTAATTTAGTTTCCCTTTGGATGTTTAAGGGAATAACACAGCAGTTTACCAGAAAAATCCCTCAGAGTCTCATCAACTCTGGGAGGGGCCCATATGGGGCCCTCCACTGAAGGTAGACATGGGGTCTGTAAGGCCACTTTGGTTTACAGTAATGTAAAGACAATTCAGACAGAGGATCAGTAGACTCTGAGACTCAATTAAAGGAGCTAAAGAGGAATAGTAGGAATCACATCAGACTTTTGTATTAGGTACTTCTTGTATCTTTTTCATTAGCCTTTTGCAATGCATTTTTCAATGAAGCTAGTTTGGAATTTTGAAGCCTTTTGGAGACTTCTGCATGCTGATTAAAACTGGTATCTTATTCTATTTGTTTGATTTGGGAACCCTTACTTTCAGGTGCACTTCTTAAATAATCATATCTAATTGGAACATTCCCCATAATGGCCACTGTAATTCTAGATTGTTTTTAGTAAGGTTTAGCCATTTTTGTAGGTATTTATATCTTTTAGCAGTATAGTTCATAGACATAAAGTAAGCACGTGTGCTGGAAGGCAGCGTGCTCAACTCTTTTGAATTCAAGGATTCGCTTTTTTTTTTTTTTTTTTTTTTTTTTAGTTAAGACTTTGGGTCTCTCAGAGGCAAACTAATATCTAAGAGGGATGTGCCACTGGGTTGGGGATTGTGTGGTGTTTTACAGTGTACCTTCTAGCATGGAAATTTTCTTGAGGTTGTCAGGTAATCTAGTGTCAATATAAACTGTCCCATGACCAACTTATCCTAACACGGGAGTTATGTGGTGAGCACTCTAACAGCTTTTAAGTGCCTTAGCCATGCTCACCAATTCTGTGGGTTTTTTTTTTTTTACTTCTATGAATCCCATTAGCAATAACCTTTATTTACTAGACCCAGTCTAGCTTAAGTTGGACCCAGTATGATCTGAAACCCAGTCCAGTTTTTCAGCTGGTAACAGCCAGCAGTTCCCAATATGGAATTTGGGGGTTGGGGAAAGGACTGAATCAGCAGACCCCCAAGAACAGGGACTGCAGACTGGGGTTCCACACAACAGAGAACTCCAGACTGAGCCATCGGTCATTACCAACATGGAATCTGGGGACAGAACCAAGGGCTGTTTCCAATCAAATAGGGAACTGACTGGCAAGCCAATTAGATCAGGAGCTTGATGCAAAGAGAGCAGAGCTCAGAACATAGAGCAACTTACCCAGGGCCCTTCTGAAAAGGACAGAACTCCAAAAGGTCTGAGGGTACAATGCCCGTGTTTCTTGTTTTAGAAGATCTTGGAAGGGCTCTGTGGATTCCATCGCTGACACCAAATCTGCTAAATTAAGTCAGATTCAACTGAGTACATTTAAAGATCTAATTGGCTTTAATTCAATGATTCATGAAGCAGGCAGCCAGCCATCTAGCAGACAGAAAGGAATTTCAAAGAGCTGTACCAAATGAAAGGGGTAGGAAGAGGAAGTTTCTAATGAAGAGTAGATTATTTCAGGCAAGGTCACCTTTCTATGGGGGAAGGAAAGAGTCTTATCAGGTGGGTTACCTCTAGTCTTAACCAAGTAATTTCATATTGACTGGTGAAAGGTCACATTTTGGGGAGAGGCTGAAGCTGCAATTAGGTTAGGTATTAGGTCTTGGTTTGCTGACATGGGGCTTAACACAAGTGACTCCGTTTGGGGCCTGTTGTCTCTTTTCTAACCTTGTTAGGTCTCTCACTATGTATAGAGAGATTGGATTTAGAAACCACAGACTGCCCTCTTTCCCAGAACACAACCCCTCCCCCACTCTGACTATTTTCCCTAACTTGGCTTTGCATAGGTAGCCCTGATACAAGAGCCCAGCGCCCACCTGAAGCAGTGCGTACCTGTCTGGGAAAAAGCATTAGGGAGGCTAATGATGATCAGGAAACACAGTGACAGCTTCTCCATGTTCCCTCCCTGCAGTCACTGTGCCCAGAATCTAGGATATTCTCCTGGAAAGAGTAGCAGCGGCTGGGCTATCCGGGGCTTTGACGCCTGAAATCCCTCTGACTCAGGTCTTTTCCACTTTGACCTTATAAGTGCAATAGTCAGATTGTCTCAGCTGATGGTTAAATGATTTTCCAAAATCGCTCCTTGGAGCCATAAATCAAAGCTCTAAGAGCAAACAAACCAAGACAAATCACAAAACAAGAGATCAATATGGGTCATTTATTAGAGACTCCATGGTGCCTACTGGTGCTCCAACAGCTCTGTGTGGCAGTGCTTTGTGAATTAAAACAGTCACACCCTGTGAATCCATTCTGGAGAAATGTTGTTAAAAGTTTGGGGGTGAGGGAGACATTTTACTCACAAAGACAACCATAACACCCCTTAGGATAGTGAAAAATTAGAAAACTGGGGCATGTTTAAGGAAACTGGATACATCTACATCCACTAAATAGAATGGATAGTCCTTTAAACTATTGGTTGGTTGTGAATTTTATGCTACAACATGTAAAAATGCTTATAATAGTATAATATGGGAAAAAATAGCATAAATTTGTTTATACACTATTTTTTAAATGAAGTAACTAGCTTAGAAAAAAATCTATTAGGGATACCCCCCAAAAAGTAAGTGTCCTTATCACGGTAATGAAATTATTGTATGAAGGATACTTTTCTCTCATTAACAACATTTCCATAATGTAGTTATATTGCTTATAAAATAAAGTGTGTGTGTGTGTGTGTGTGTGTGTGTGTGTGTGTAATTAAGAAGCAAGGAAAGAGAGAATAGAATAAAGATAAGTAGTCCTTGAAGCTCCAAAAGCTACTGTTTCGTTTTATGAATAGGACACCCAGTCTGTGGCTATTTGGCTTTAATCCCAAAACATTATAATTTCATGTAAAAAGAATCTTGAGCTTATTCATTATGAGTTTTCCCATTGACATTCAATGAGAAATTGATAATAGACATTATTTATTATTTGACTGGAAGAACTAACTGACATGCAGATAGCATATTCTAAACACAAGAGAGAAAAGAACTATTGCAAATTATAGTATTGATACATTTCTGGAAAGGTTTGTTTTGTTAACTATATAATGGTATATAGTTAAATTTTCTTTTAAATTACCTTTCCCAAACTCTTTGCATCTTATTTTTTAAAAGACTGACTTAAAGTAATTGCTGCAAAATTTTTTCTCTTCTTACTGTAACCATTTACCCAATTAAAGATATATGCATAATTTGAACACAACAAAATATATATAATAGGTAAAAGATTGGGACAAAGAAGGAAGGTGTTTTCCCAGTACCCAAACTGCCTTCTCATTAGCATTGGGCTCCCCAGGTAAGTCAAAAGAAGGCACCTACGAGTATGATGGGTGGACTCTTTGGAAATGTTATTGATTTCAAGGAGCCCATCACATTATCAGATCTATGTCCATAATGGATATTCTGAACACAGCTTAAAATTGAAAAAGGGAGAGAGGCAGAGAGACATAGAGATAGGGAGAGTGAGAGCTAAAGCAATAGAAAGAGAAGACAGAGAAAAAGGAAAAGAGAATTTGAAAGACCTTCCGGGTGAACCGTTTCACAAGCCACCCCTGGTTCCAGTAATCTGCCAAGACAGCACTGTAACCACTCATGCCATATGACAGAGTCTTGGGTGAACTTTACCAGAAGAGAGGTGTAATAGATCAGTTTGCCATGTGACGTTTTCCCTGCTCACATATGTTTGTTTGGGAGGCTTCTCCTCTCTTCCTTTTACAGTTCATGATGTCCCTGTAAAAATACTTAAATATTTCAGCTTTTCTAGACATCTTGGCACTTTGGTTTCTCCCTGATTTAAAGTCCCAGTAGATCAGAAAAACATTTCAATTGTAGAGACACCAAGTACTGACTGGGGATAAAGAAAAACATTGCAAGACAATGTTTGTTATCTTGTTATCACAGTGCAGTTTTAATGAATAAATAAGAGCATGGTACATATAGAGCTATCATTTTATTTAATCCTCAAGTACCTACAACTCTAGACTCCAGTGCCTAAAGAGCAAGTTTGATATGCTCTCACAGTTCAATCTGGAACCACTATAACATGGGGAAAAGAGGAAGCAACGGACATGTCGGTCAGAAACAACACATCCAGTCAGAGACAACAGTAGTCTTTTCAAAGCTATCACTCAGCCTAGAACAGTGGTTCTCCAGCCCCCACTGTTGGAGACTCGGCTGCACATTGTAATCAACTAAGGAGCTTTAAAAATACTGATGCCCGTATACCCAGACAAAACAATAATTCAAAAAGATACGTGCACCCCTATATTCATAGCAGCACTATTCACAGAAGCCAAAACATGGAAACAACCTAAATGTCCATCAACAGATGAATGGATGAAGAAGATGTGGTACGTATATACAATGGAATATTACTCAGCCATGAAAAAGAATGAAATAATGCCATTTGCAGCAACATGGATGCAACTAGAGATTATCATACTAAGCGAAGTAAGTCAGAAAGAGAAAGACAAATACCATATGATATCACTTATATGTGGAATCTAAACTATGCCACAAATGAACCTATCTACAAAACAGAAACAGACTCAGACACAGAGAACACACTTGTGGTTGCCAAAGGAGAGGGAAGGACTGGAGATTTGGGATTACCAGATGTAAACTATTATATATAGGATGAATAAAGAACAAGGTCCTTCTGTATAGCACAGAAAACTATATTCAATATTCTGTGATAAACCATAATGGAAAATTATAATTAAAAAAAAGCATGTCTCTATGTGTATAACTGAGTCACTTTGCTGTACAGGAGAGATTTGCATAACATTGTAAATCAACTATACTGCAATTAAAAAAAATTAAATTAAAAAAAAAATACTGATGCCTGGATCTCACGAGCAAAGAATCTGCTGTAATAATCTGGTGTGTGACCTGGAAAACTGGATTTTTAAAAGCTCCCCAAGTGATGATAATATTAGCATCTAAATTTGAGAATCATTGTCCTAAAGAATTTCTCATATGATTCCGTACCCTTGATGAATGCTTCCTAGAATATGAAATGATGTCTAAGGGCACACCTAACAGTGGAAAAGGTAGGGGCTTCCAAGTCAAAGAACTTCGATAGTGTGTCAAGGGCATAGCTTGCCTAATGTTATGTTGATGCCAAAGCTGAATAGGATTTTTATGTGCAATCCATTCTCCCAAACATAAAACAACAAAATGAAAAGTTGGGAGATTGCCAGTGCCCCAAAAAAGGTAGTTTACATGCTGGATATATGGCATCCTGGAATGGCTTCTCCATGAGAAAACATGCATGCATCTCCATACCCTCCCTACTCCACTAGGGGTGTAAGTACAGCCTATGAACTTTTACTGCATGCGGCAGTAGAAAACAGTGGTTAGAAGCATGGGGCTCTGTAGTCAGACTGCCTAGGTTCAATCCCAACTCTGGGCAAGTTAATTAACCCCTATGGACCTCAGTTTCCTCATCTGTAAAATGAGGACTATAAAATAGTACTTGCCTCATAGGTTGTCATTAAACAAATAAATATACCTAAAGGACTTTAGAGCAGTGAGTGCATGGAATATGGTAAGAGCTCAGTATGTGTTTTTAAGGTGTTTTTAAGACTGTCTGTGATCTGCCCTGTGTGCTTAAGCAATTACCATCCTGGGAGTGGTGGTGGAAACTTACAAGATTACTTATCTGTGTGTATTAAAGGACATGGGGTAGAGGGATGAAACTGAATGAGTCTTCAGATAATGTACCAGAGGCAGGGGAAGGGGATAGATAACCTGACTCAAGATGTGCTAGATCTTTCTTTAAAGATCACCACCTGCCTTCAAGCTTATTGGGAGCCAGGCATGTCTTCCAGATAAGACATCTGAGCTGCCAGGAAGACACTAAAGTGATGGTTCTAAAAACATATTGGGCAAAAGAGCTTGTGAATTGCAGATTTCTGGGCTCTATAGCCAGAGACTCTAATCTGGTAGGTCTGAGGTCAATGAATCTACAATAAACACCTTAGGTGATGATGATGCTTGTATTAAGCAGCCCACAATTTAAGAATCACTGGACCAGGCAATCTAGGAAATTTGAGCTAGGAATCTGAATTTTCTGAAGAAGAAGCTTGCAAGGCCACTTAATCCACTTTCTGTTACAGGAGAAATGAAAAGATGCATAGATAAGATGGAGACGGAGCACAGCAAGGAAGGCATACAGGCAAGTTTTGCCAATCCACCTGAGACTAGAGGTTGGTTATCTTAGGATAAAGTTATTTAGAAATCAACACAGCACTTCTCTTCTTTCCCTGGGAGTCTAAGGATCAGAAATCTATGCTTTTGAAACCTGATTTGCGTTTTCTTTTTTTATCTTTTTGGCCACATGGCTCGCAGGATCTTAGTTCCCCAACTAGGAATTGAACCCAGGTCAACCACCAGGAAATTCCCTGGGTATTTATATTGTTGGTGTTGTTGTTTTAATGATCTGGAGTTGTTTGCTTTTTTTTTTTTTTTTTGGTCAATCCTTGCTTCCGTGGAGATCAAACTTAGCGATAGTGAAAGACATAGGGAAAAAAATCGCAGACTTACCATCCTACCTAATTTGTCAACTGGTACTCCAAATCCATTTCCATCAGGCTCAGTCCCATTTCTGAGGAGGCTTGTAGTCTTTCCTCCAGGCCCTGGATGGACCACAGGGAAGGGTCCTCAACCACTCATCTGGCTGGAGACATGCAAGGCTTATCATTATACCCAATGATCTAATATTTCTTCCCAACACAGGGAGATTTTAGGTGCCTGATCTGCACATCACCATCTTGCATCCTCTGCTAAGGTGCTCACACTTGGGTCACTTCAGGTCTGGACCTGAAGGCCTGGCTCATATTCTTATACCAGCATGGCTATTTTCAGTCTTCAAAGGAAAGTGTCCTATCAGGTAGCAGCCTCCAGCATCTGC